AAAAAGAGAGAGAGACTGAGATAAGATCACTAACAAGAGAAAGCTTAAATAAGAAAAGTGGTTATAATGAGGAAACCTATGACAGAGGCGCTTGCCATGTAACGGGCGATGGCCCAAAATATGAGGAGAAGGGAAGTTGTTATTGAAGATTGTAAGAAAAGAGAATAGTTAGGAATGAAAACAGGGTGGCGCTTGCCATGAAAAGGGCGATGGCCCAAAATATGAGAGGACGGGAAATTGCTATTGAATATTGAAAGAATAGAGAATAGATAAGAATGAAAGTAGGCTGGCACTTGCCATGGAAAAGGCGATGGCCCGGGAATGAGAACGGTCAAAATAGTTGGTCGCTAGACATTGATAGTGTATACCACACGGAAAATAATGTTTGAAAAAAAAAAACAGGAAAGAAGGACGAAGGGGTAGCGAGTACATAGATTCCTCAATATTTAATACTGATTTATGATTTCAGATATTTGAAAGGTCTACAGCATGGACGCTCCTCCCGAAAAGTAGTAAGCCGGACACAAAGGACTTGATAAAACAGTTAATGTCATCCAAAGCCGCTTCAACCACATCCAGATACRGAAAAGAAATAAAGAAGTTTTTTAAGTGGTGTAACTCAGTCAAAATAGAAGCAGTTCCGCCTTTCAGTTCAGCTCTACCTCTGGCATACCTATCTAAAGTTCTAAAGGATTCTCAGTCGTACAGTTCATTAGTCCTAAGTTACTCAGCTCTGAAATGGCTCCATTCCCTGCTACCGGACAACGGTGTAAATCCACTTGATTCTTCRGCGTGCCATCAATTGCTAGAATCTGCCAAAAGGTCCAAAAACCCAATCAAGAAGAAAAAGCCCCTGACAGCTGACATGTTAAAAGAAATAATTGACAAGCATGGACATCCCTTAGCAAATTTAAAGGATCTAAGAATAGCTAGCATTTGTGCATTAGGTTTTGCAGGCTTCCTGCGGTATGACGAATTAAGTCAAATGTTAATTTCACATTTAGAGTTCTTGCCGAATCATCTAAGAATACTGATCCCGAAGGCAAAAAACGATATCTATAGGGAGGGTAATTACGTTTACATCAATAAATTAGACAATGCCTACTGTCCGGTCACTCTGTTAAGCAGGTACATCGAAAAAGCAAATTTAAAACTGGGT